TTTTCAGTCTAATTATCTGAGACGATAACATAACTTCAAATGAGAAAAATAAAATATAAAGAGTTTTTCTTCAATTAATTTTTGGATCTCCTATTTCATGCACCCGAAAAACGAAATAAATAAATTTCAATTCATTATAAATAAATTGAAGAGAGCAATCATTTCCTCACTTTTCTATCTTGATTCCTTACAAATATTTTGAGGCACTTATTTTTTTCTGTAATTCATACTAATTAGTTAAATGCTAAGTAATAGGAATCTTGCTCACTTTTTGCTAATAATTAATTGTGTTATTAGAGTTTTGACGCATTTTTTAAAACAAATCGGCTCACTCTATTATGTATTTATTTATTTATTTTACCATCAATTTAATCTCGATCTGAAAAAACCTTGATGCTGGACAATTTTTTCGTCTTTCTCGATTTAAGTGATCGGTCCCAAATTTTGTACTTGCACGTGTTGCAATTTCAATAACAATGTCAATGTGTAACGTAGACCTAATGGCGGTCCAAAAATACACGTTAAATTTTGTACGGCCACAAGAATATGCCCATGCATCTCAGAGAATCTGACTACAATTGGCATTAAAAATAAAAAAAATAAAAAATGGAAGTCCATTAAGTACGTAGGTCTACTATTCATACGTTGAGAATAACAATATTTCAACTGCCTAATTGACGTGCTGATTATTTATTAAAGTAGTTAATATCTTAATGATTAATAAATTCATTTATTTTGTGTCATCAGATAATTGCTCGTTCGAATACTTTTAGGGTGGTTATATTGACATTACAATTTTTATTTGTTACACCACATTTTAATTGCAGTGAAATTCTTCAATCTTTGCTCATTGAAACAATTATTTCCTTAACTTTTTTCGTCGAATTCTTATTTTCAATCTTTCATTAATCAGTACGTCCCATCATTGATGGTAATTTATATAAAAGTATTCTATTTTCATGCTTTGAAACAAGTGATTTTTTTTTACTTTTTTATTTATTTTTAAAATATGAAGGAAGAATAACTTGTTTTATACCATTTCAACGAATTTTTGAACATAAAACTATTATTAAATACAAAATATGTTAACTAATGAAAAATTTAAGGACAAGAATGATATGAAAAATCGTTAGGGACAAAAGTGTTATAATGACCAAAAATTAAAAACTTTATTGCAATTAAATTGATGTGCAAGAAATAAAAATTGTGGTATGAATATAATTCCCCATACTTTTAATATATATTTTTTTTCAATCACACAAAAATAATTTACTGGTTAGTCAACCACAATATTTAATGACAAATAAAATAACTTAGCTAGATTCAAAAACAGGGAGTGAATAGACAGACTGATGTGTCAGAAAATGATTGGGTGTTTTTATATTAATTTTTTAAACTGTCAAATCATGCATCGACACGTGTTCCGTCTAGATTTTAGTTTAGATTTAAATATGGATGTTTAGTACTCTTATATATAAAAAATAATTAATTAAGTACGGATATTTAAGTTATTTAATTTCATACTTAGCCCTTGTTTGAGCTCCATTTTTGGGGAGAAAATGAATTTTTAAATAGTGTATTTATAAGAAATGTGTGATTAAAAACTACTAAAAAATTTTAAATTTATGTGTTATATTATTTTATTGAAGAATATGTGGTTGAAATGATATTAAAATACTATTTAAAAATGTATTTTTTTTGAAAATAATGGGGCTCAACCAAGGGCTTAATATTTTATTTATTTCTTGCATTAAATAAAGTTGATGCGAACTTCCATCATTAATTATTTTGCTAATTGTCTTGTTAGTCGGTCAATTCTCAAACGTCAGATGTTAGACTGATTCTTAACTAAAGACAAATTTAAAATAATAATAATAATAAACTATTAAGAAGAAAAAGTAGAATAGTATTACTTCTCTTCAATTGTTTTTTATGACCTTAACTCCTCATGCTTTATGAAAATATAATTATTAGGGCTATTTAGCTTTATTCAAATTGAGAATACCCAAATTTTTGTCCAGGTTTTCTTGTATCTTTTTAATTTTTTATTATCATAGGCTTATAATTCATTTTATATATTTTAAGATGGATCTCAAATTCTTATAAAAGAAAAGAGGACAGTAAACAGTCAAATACGTAAAAAATTCATAATATTTTATGATATGAATTACCTTAAAAATATATATATATATATATCAACTGACCCCATTACCTCCACTCGGAGGAATTATGAGATCACCTTAATGGCGCCTTAGCGAATCAGTCATAGAACCATTTTCAATAGGTGAAAATGCATTACTTGTTCGTTCTTAGGTTTGGACAACATAGGTCGAAGATGAAATTGAAAAGTTCATTTTTCAATGAAGTGTTCATCCGTAGAAAAGAATGCATTGTTGAGTAGAAGATATGGATATAGTCTCGCTTTGATATCAGGAAGTTCTATAAATATAAACAGAGTATCACTCGTTAAAAAAATTAAAAATGAAAAAAAATACTATTGTTCAGTGCACTACTGCTTAAATAGTTGATCACATCAATCCTATTTTTAAAATTTATTTTTCTTCAAACTTACTTTGAATTACACATTCTCTCAATAAAATGCAAACAACTAAGAAAATAAATTATGCAGAACAACGGCAAAATAGATTAATCCGGCAAAATATATGGTGACTCCACCAAGTAGAGCAGACCAATCAATCAATGCTCCCTCGTATTCTAAACTGACAAACAAAGTCATTGTATTATTATCAATAATTATAGACTTTATATACCTTCCCCAGATAATACCACTAATAAATATATTTTATAAAACTTGAAATAATGGTTAATCATTTAATGTTAGAGTAAAATAGAAACCATTTTCATAAACCTTGATGGATAAATACTAACCAACCTCAACTTATAGGCATATTGTGTGTTGAATCGAAGTTTACGATTTGATTGTTGAC